AACCATATGGAGCAGTACGATCCTCAGGGAGTGCCAGGGGAGTACTCCAGTCACCAGGGCTTTGTAAACAGGCAGGAAGACCTCAGTAAATGGAATCCTGAATGTCTATCCATTGCTGATGGTTTAGGGCTTTTTGATCTCATCTAATCAAATGTAACAACAATGAAAGAATTTTATTGCTGCACAATTCAGGAGAAAACACTAACAAAAAAATAGCTCCACAGTTCTTCAAGCATGTTTTTGAATAAAAAATAATTATCATCAAGGCTACGCAGCAAGGGGGATGAGAAATAGGCAGCACTGCATTTTTCTGATTGCCATTGTATTAATATTTAACAATAAATTCAGTCATTTCCTTGAAGGATAATTTTCTTAAATAAACTTTTATCTTTAGCGTCTAACCCTTTTGCAATACTTTATTCTTAACTGATTTCTGGGGGAGAAAAAGGGACAAACTGCAACAAAAAAGCAGATTTATAAATATATACAATATCTTATTAGCTTCTAGGCGCTCACATATTTAAAACAAACTTGAGCTCAGCTAAGCCCAATTATAATATCTCACTGGGCAGAGAAATTAATTAAACAGCTAAATGATAAAGACCCCAGCAGCAAACTGAGGCTTTAAAATAAATAAGATCTTTTTTTAATTTTTTGAGGAGAATTAAAAAGGGAAAGAAAGAAGCCTGTAACAGACATTTCAAACATTAATGTAACAAGGCTTTTCAGGAGTGCAATGCACTGTAAATAAGACTACCTGGCGGGAGAATGCCTTGGCAGCTCTAACGTGGCTCACCAACTTTGTGTCTTGCTAATGTGCAACACACGCACCCCTTTTGCATCAACTTCAAATAACCCTGGGATCTCAGCAGTGCAGCTCAGCAACAACCAGAACAAGGGCAGAACTTGTCAGGATTTAAGAGCTTTCAGCAAAACCCTTCAATTGCAGCCAGTACCCTATTCCATAGAAGGATATCAATTATAGATAGTGACTTGCTTTAGCAGCGCAGTCGGTACTGTCAGACGCTAGATAGACAACCATGAAGAATCATGAATCTTTCTATTAACTGCAAGAGAAGGAGGGGGGGAGAGGAAGGATGGATAGGTGTTATAAATAAGGCAGAGCGTCTGATGGTTTAACACCTTGCCTTTTGGTGCATGCCTCATGAAAATTTAACCATGCTGAATTCTAAGTGGCTCATATCACTGGAAAATAAGAGCACCCATGCCAAAATCATTTCAGTGTCAGACCCTTTTGGGTGGGTCAATAATGTTTCTTTTAGGTAGCTTTCCAGTTATATATTCATAGCAGCTCAGGTTCTGTTCATAAATTAAGTCAGAAAACATTGGGACCAAAGAACACTTTCAGTGGCACCCACATTTTACACTAATAACTGCAGGACTTTGCTACAGAAATGCAGAAAATGACATCAAATACTGATGACTACTGTGCACAACATTGCAATTTCTACTGTAAAGCTAAATCACATATTTAGACACAGATTTTGTTTGCATTACCATTTAATACATGCTATGTCACAAATCACGTTGTAATGCTGATTTAAGTGCAGTTGATTTCAAAGTAAATCAGGTCTCAAAATTCTCCAAGAAATAACAAAGCTATATGACAGAAGGACCAGAATATACATGAACTCATATTTACCTTTTTCAAAACACATGAATATGTCCTTGTGTACACTCCATAGAGGGATAATGACATCTATACCATGAACTGTATGCACTGTGTATTGTAGAAAAGCTTTTCTAAGCTCTGTTCAACCTGGCATGACTAGAGTTCACACAGAGCTACCTAACCCTTCAGGAAACAAAACAAACAGCTTGCATCTCTTCCCTTAACACTGCAGCTCCTCTAAAATGTCAGTGCGTTGGGAAGCAAGGCTTGGATAACAGTCTGTCCTGTGCCACTGGACATTCTGGGTCTGATCTCTTGCTATTGTACATGGTTATAACCATACAGAAAGATGGCAGATGTTATTTGGATTAGTCTTGCTAGGGCAATTTAACCCTTTATTACTTTTATCTATGCCAGTTGCCCTTATCTTGGTGATTACTACCCCACAGCAGAATCAACAAAACCCGATGGTTATCTATACTTTTGACATCCGGCCCAGCACCTTACTTCCAAACCTTCAAGCTCTTCAAGCTCAGCTGGAGCAGCTCAGGCTCTCTTGAGTCTGCCAGTGGGTTGGGGTTCACTGAGAGAGCAGCAAACTGTGCAGCCAGGAGAGGCATGGTGGCAGAACTCTGCTGCTAGATCAGGTAGCTCCTGACAGCACAAACAGCCCGATGCACGTGGCCCCGGAGCCGCGGGGTGAAAGACCTCGTGCCCGTGTCAGCTGCACTCCTCCTCCCATGTCTGAGCAGCCCCTGGCATTGTGAGGTTCTGGGCTTGGGGAGGCCTCCAGCTGCTACTACAGTGTCAGGGCTGTGGAGCCAAGCGTGCTCACGGGCCCCGAGACACACACCATGCCTGTGCCGGTTTGGGCACACACATGCACATGCCACACACACAGCACTCAGAACTGGGCTGACACTGGTTTAAGCGCAGCTACAGCAATTTGTATCTACTTGGATTTACCTACAGTATTTGGATAGGAGGCACACATGAACCACGTATTTTAACTTTTTCAACTTAGATTTTCAAGGACCTAATACTCAGGGATGGAACACTTTCTACCAGAGTGACACACCTAAGCAAAACCAGGACTGCCCTCCCGTGAAGCCCTACTGAGACCAGACCTCATTTCCCTAGTTGCTGCAGATGTACATCAGAGGGCTGTGGCAATCAAGGGCAGACAAAATGTGCAAAAGGCAGACTGGGGTGAGTGGCCAGGCTTTCAAACAGAGATAGATGTCTAAAGCCCTTTGCAATTCTGGGCAGAAATAACTCGCTCGAGTCCCCACAGCAGGGCTCTGCCAGAGCAGCAAAAGAAATCACAAACCATGGCCCCATCACTGAATCCCGCTGACTCTTACAGCATGATTTGTGCTACTTAGATGTGATGGTTACCATGATGAATTTATTGTCTTCAGGGTATGGAGTCAAGTCTTGCACCTTGTAATCCTAAACACCATCATAACATACCTGAATCCTGAGCCCTGCCAAAAAGAACTCCCTTTCACAGAAAAACTTTTTACATTCCTTTTCTATGTCTAGAGAAACTTGTTTCAGACGTTGCCATTGTTCAGAAGCATAAGAAATACACTTTTTCAGTCTTGCTATTGGCCATTACAATGCAGGCAGATTTGCTATAAAAATCACACCAAAACCAACAAATTAACTTTAAAATTAAACTCCAGAAGAGCTAAACTACCACCCTGTCAAATTAATTCACCTTCAAATACAAAACACAAGCTATTAGCTAACACGCTGGACTTCCATTAAGTTTTACACCTGGAACATCAAAAATCCTTTTTTTTTTTTTATTGCCAAGGGTACCTTTATTCTGAATTTCTCTTTTATTTCATATATTTTTGTGTATATTATTTATCAACATAATCATCATCATCACTGGGATCTCTTCTGAATACTGAAAGGTTTTCCAGGCATCATAAATAGCAGATATAAAGACTCTTCCTATGCAGAGCCCCATATGATGTCTGTTTGGTCTGTTTAAACAGAATCAATTCAAAGACCAACATCTGATCTTTTAATTTACATATGTCAAACCACTTGCAGAAGCCATTCATATGGCATTTCTTCCCCAAAAGGTACTGTGACACCAAAACAGTTTCTCCACATATTTAAATTTGCCCTATTCAAATGCTAGGGAATTATGTGTGCAAAATGTCTCAAAGAATTCTTGGAAAAATGTCACATTTTGGCTACTATTCTAATTGTTGATAGTCTTTAATTTATCATTACTGTTGTTACTGCTGCTGCTACTACTTAATAAGAACCTGAAAATACATCTTGATGAATAACTGCAACACCAAGAGGTTCTCACACTCCAGCAAGTGAAAGCTGACATTGCTTTACTAAAGTCAACTTTGCAGGATAAGTTGACCATTTGGCACAGTGTTTGGAAATATATGGTGGGTTTGTTTTTATTTATTTTGTGTGATAAAGTGGATTTTTCAACTAGCTATTTCACAACTACTAGCCACATTCTGCAATAGATTTTGCATGATCTCCAGTCATGTATGAAACGGTTTTCTAAACTAAATACAATTCTGTCACACTGCTCATTTGCTGAAGATGTTCCTCTCTATTCTGTACTAAGAATTCAATTATTTTTCAGAATATTTAATATGTTCTATGATGTCAGTAAGTAAGAGAGGTCCTGCTAATTAAGGAGGTTAGAATTGCAGGGGATTGTACTTGTCAGGTTGTGTTCTGGATTTTGGTCACTCACTTTCTATCTTACAATACTGTCAAAGAGTACAAATTGTTTATTTGGGAGAGGTGGAAAAAAGGAATAAAAACAAAGGAAATAGAATTTATATTTGGTGTAGTACAGAAAAGATTATAGTTTGCTTTTCCTAAAATGACTGAAGTAACTCGGTCCCCATTTATTTAGCCAAATAATCCCTTTCAGTTTACACACAACAGTAAATTGATAGCAAAACCTCTCTTAGGGAAGGGAAAAATTTCCCCTCACCCATTTCTACTGTTACAGCCCCTTTGGGGAGAAAAAAATCAAACTTGGCTAAAGGTTAATAATCATTCATGTCCAGCTTACTATTACTCAATAACTATCAAAGTCTCTAACTCAAAATAGCGTTTGCTGGCTTACAGGATCAGAGCCATTACAATCTCTGTGGAAGACTTTATTGAATTTTACACTAAGCTTTAGCTGACTGAACAGGTCAAGCACTGTGGCTTCGAGTTTTCTTTATTCTCAGAAACTCATAAACCCCTCTCCAGTTTGCAGCTCTGTTAGCTAAGAAACTTGACTCAGCATAGGGTCACAGAACCTGACCCCCATGAAAAAGGTCACGTAGTTTTAAAACCTAGTTCCTGAATACCATTAACTTACATGCACTAGCTGTTCCTGCGTGTCAAACTCCCGGGAACAGCCTTCCCAGTGGCAGTTTGTCTCATAGACCACTTCAGGCTCCTGTTTGCTTTCATCTTTGTCCCCTTCCTCCTTTACCAAGGTCATTCCTTCTGGCTGTTCCTGGAGAGAGGAAGAAAACAGGGGTGAGAAGAAGAGAGAGGAAATTCTGAAACTGAGGAGGAAGAAAAGTGAATTACTTCAGCATTAAAAGAAAGATGATGGGGGTGTGTGTGTGGAGGAGGCGGGGGAGGGAGTTTTATTTTACTCTCACTTCACTATGCTACTCCATTCTACAAAATACAGAAGCCCAAAACAGGCCTGATAAGCCAGAAGCCATTTGCAAACTATGCACATAAAATAAATTCTTCGTTCCCTTTACATTTCAATTTAAAATAAATTATAATGGCCTGTTTTCCCTCACACTTTATTTAAGCACCTTGTTATTTGTGCACCTGGCTTTCATGATTCGGTGACACCGCTAATGTGAAAGGCACTATTCAGTATAGTTGAATTAATTGGAATTTGATTTTAGTACTAGGGTTGGACAGAAATTGGATCACCAGTAATCCAGTGTGTTTCCATTGCTAAAACAGTAACAGGTTTGCATGCTAAAACCTTTCCAAGAGCAGACTGGTAATTTTGGAGTTACTTGTTAGTCTGTTCTTGCCCTTAACATGTGCATAAAAGGGGTGAGCAGGGGAAGAAAGTATTTCATTTTGGGGTTAGGATTTCCCACCTCTAGTTCATCAGGGTGCCTCAATCTCCTTGTTATTTGCTGAGGGTAAGAATCAGATGTTAGTGTAAGCATTTGGTTCAGATTATGCACTCCTGCTATTTTTCTATTTCAAACCTGCTGAAGGATTTAGGCCTCTGCTTTGCTTTCATGGATTCACTCGCAAGACTGAGGCTCTGATTCTCATCTCCCCTGAGTCATTGTAAATCAAGAGTCACTCTACTAAAACCAGTGGCTTTAACTGGTATAGAAAGCACAGCAAACAAGACTGGAGCCCAACACTGGAGCCTCAATGCAGTACAGTGCTAAGACCCAGTAAAAGTCAAGGTGGCCTTAAGTATTTCTGCTGAACAGAAAACACGTTCTTAATAAAGACCTGAATGTCTCTTGTTCACTTTTCCGTGGCAGAGCGTTGAGTGTGCTCTGACTGGTCAGAGGTGTCTCTCCATCAGCCTCCTTCCCCTCTGCCCTCATCCTGCCACAGACCCTGCTCCCCAGGAGCTGCTCCTTTAGCCCCGACTACTGCGAGCAGAGGCTGCCCGTGTGCGCAGCACACGAAGTGCAAGGAGCCTGAAAACGTGTGTGTCACAGGAAAAGTTAATTTTCCCTCCAGCAACAAGAGGAAAGGCTCATGACTGGAACCTGGCTGCCATACCTGCATGCTTCCAGCTCCTGGGCTCGGGAGATCCTCGTCAGGCTTTATCTTGGAGCGCTTGTTGTGCATGGGGTCTCCTGTGCTGCTCACTGCAGATTCACTGGTGGGTTTATTCTGCTGCAGGCAGGTGGGTTTTTTTTTTCCCCCCAGAAGAAGACAAAATTAGACTGCAATAAATATGTGGCTCCAAACAAAAATACACAGCATCTGCTCAGTGACTCTGTATGGAGAAGCTGCACTGTTAATTGTATTGGATATGCAATTAAATTGTTCTTCGATTACATAGCATTAACTCATGGAAGAGCTGCATTGCTCAACCTTGTAGCAGAGCAGGGAGGGAGTGGGAGGGGAAGCATTTGATGTAATTTCTTGCTAAAAACTTACGCTGGGTGTTTTTCAGAGCAGCGAGAGGTAGTAAGAACTTGATTTTGCACATAATTACAACTTTGGAAAGGCAATTTTGAAAAGGAAAATCACTGCATGCTCAAACAAACACAAGAGAAACATTTATTTTTTCACACTTGAAGAAAAGGTTTTGCATTTAATATCTGCGCACAAGATTTCAGCTTCTTCACTATTTTTCCCAATATAATGGGTGGACTGGAGGAAGAGCTGAATGCTAGTGTGAGACTGAACCAAAAAAATCCTAGATGAAGTCCTGGATTCTCACAAGTTAATAGCAAAATAGCTGACATAAACAGGCCAGAATCTTGTTTTTCTCTTGTTGTGCTCGACTGAACACCATTATCTACACCTGCAAATGGATCTTGTAGGAATCGAGAGATCCTTTAGTGATATCTGAACTTGCAGGGACCCCACAAAAAATCAATACGTTTTCTACAGCAGTATGTTCTTCCTCTACATTTGTAAAAGCTAGCCAGGAGATAAACAGCTTCCAGACTGATAAATAACATATCCCAGGTCATCTAGAAACAAACAGCACTAGTTAATAACAGGCAAATCACAAACCGTGTTAAACTCCATATTAGGGGCCTGATTCACTGCTGCTCATTCCCAGCTTTTGAGAATACACCTTATGGAAATGATTCATTCAAACTCACTAAGTCAAATTTTTTCACAAATCAGAGAAAAAAACCTTCAATCCTCTTCACTGTCTCTGAGTTACTCTCTTGTTCACTGAATTACTTGCTTCAGGTTACTCACAGCTGTACAAGGAGGGCAGAATATGACCCTGTATATCCTAGGGTCAATCTGATTTGGAGCTGAAGCTGCTGATCTTTAAAACATTGGTTTTTTGATGTGTTTTGCCTCTTTTCTTACTCCCCACCTCTACTAGGCTCTTGCATAAGATCGAGGAGAGGCAGTATGGAACAAGAAGCTGCTGCAGTACACTGGAATGTTTATGAGGACTAAAAAGCACACTCCAAATCAGGAGCTGCACCAACGCTCCCGTGATTCATAATGCAGCGACTGCAAACACTAGAGCTACAAGAAGACTGCTATCGACAGGTCTCAGTGACAGAGGTGATTAATTGCCATCCAGACAATGCCATTTATTTAATTTTTAAATTAATGGGGTGCAAAACTTTCTTTTGTTGTCTCTCACCTGTGTGGACTCAGAAGGTCCAGAGCTGACCTGGACAGGGTTCAGGACACTGGGGATGCCAGGGATGGGTCTCTGGGTAGGAAAAGTTGGAGCAGGATGGATGAGTGGAGGGCTGTGTCCAAAGGCTGAACCTAGGGTTTGCTGACGACTTATAATTTGCTGATGCATTTGCTGGAGGGATACTGGTGTAGGAGGGTATGTGAAACTCAGAGCAGGGCTGAATTTGGGAGAAAAAGGAGGGAAGAGGGAGGAAAAAGATGAGGATCATTATGGTAAGGAACCATACAGATTAAAACTTTAAAACATATTTGATATCTTTAAACTACTTGAAGCCAGATTTCCCCCTCCCCCTCATATCCCCTTCATGCCCCAAAGGATGATAAATCCTGATTTTAAATCCAGGCCTGCCCTGGATTTACTAGTGAGTACAAAAATGATACCAATAACAAAACATAACATTTTTTCCTAACCTCTACCAGGAAACCACAGAAAGCTGACCGAAATAAAATTCAGAAAAACTGAAATAAAAGGCAGGCAGTTCAATAACAGCTATTTATTGCAATAACAAACTTTATATAAAGAAAAAGAATGGGTGCCTACATGCTTTATAGTACTTTTATTGATAATGCAGTTCCCCTATGTTCGCGTGTATGAAGCAGTTCCTTTAATCTTGGCTCATGCTACTCTCTTTCATATGTCTCTAGATCTTATTACAAGAGGAGAGAAAATCAATTGGTTAAATGCGTTCTGAACACCATGCTTGTCATATCACTCATTTGTTTGCAAAGATGGAAAGCTCAGTTCATCCAGAATGTCACCTAAAGAATTTCCATCAGTGCCGTTTGGTTACAGAAACTGATGGATTAACCTTTCCCCTTTGAAATTGGTGATCAATGACTTCCAATGTAGAAATATTCCAATGGGAAAGCACTTCTCCTTCTTCCAGTAAAACAACATTAAATGTCTATTAAAGCCCATTATGCATGTTAATACCTGTCATCACTTCATTACTTCACCGTATTTCCCAGACCACAGTGACTTAGAAGGAAATTACGCTGCCATCTAAGGACCTGTTCCGTGGGTAGTGCAAAAGCATTCTTTGTGTCACACTTGAGAAATAAATGGTGTGGAACTAAGTCTTCACACACAGGAGTAAGAGATCCTCCTGTAAATATTTGCCAATAACTTCAAGCCATAAAGAGAAAAAAAAAAAAGAAAAATAATTTCATTGATTAAAAAAAAAAATACACTGAACTATCAGAGTTCAAAAAAGCCACAGGAATATAAAACATTTGGTCTCAAAAGAGAGAGGTGTGGGCATTATACCTTCCAAGAATCAAGGCTTCTTCTAATGTCAAATTTATCCAAATTAAGAGTCCGGAGTCTTAATTGCTGTTGCTGCTAAGTACATTAACTGAAAATATGTAATACAAAAAGCCAAAATAATTTCAACCATTTTAAGTAGTAATTCCACAAAAATTCTCTGTTCATTAATATGACTATACATTTTGTCTGTTTGAGTACAGTCCATAAAAAGATAGCTTCAATGTGATTACATTACTATTATTCCTGGTGAGAACTCTGCATTACAATAGTTTGCCCATTTAGGACAGAATATCATTAAGAATACCCTGGGAGAATTTTACTGGTCTTTAAGGAACTCCCTTTTCATTCTGCATTGTATTCCTTCTAATAAAGGGAGGCAGAAACGTAGTGAAAACAGTAATTGTTCACAGCAAGAGTTAGGGAGAAATCAGTAATAATATTCAGTTATTGAAGCTCTATAGTCCCTGCTAGTGTTCCTGTAAGCAACCATGAATGATTACAGCACGACTTAGCTAAGGTAGCCACTATGGATGATTAATAGGACATTAATCAAAAGATGCATATCAGGCTCAGAATTTGTTCACAAGCTTTCTTCTAATAGCTGATTTCATGTTCACTGAGCTCTATGCCAGTTTGTTCAATTTATTCTTCAGTGTACAAGCCATTCATCAAAGAACATAATGATTTAACACCCCTTTTCCTTTTTAGTGAACAAACATTACTAAGTGTAACTACTCTGGTCTGTTCATTAAAAAAAACACAATTACACTGCCATACATGAGGTTGAAAAAAAAAATAAAGCCTCCTTACTATAACCTGGTCTTTTTTGCTTCCACACATACACTGAGTTCACCTCAGACACTCAAACACTAGACGGCACCATCCTGAAGATGCAGTCAAATTCACCAAGATCAACAAACACGAGACACAAACAGTTTGGATGAGGTATTTTATTTCTTTCTCTGTGAGTGGTTAAAGCCTAGGAGACTTTCACCCTTCAGATGAGTCAGTTTAAAAGAAAAAAAAAAAAAAATGGACTGATTTCATTGGCAGTTCCAAGCACATAGACACACTGGAAATACAGGTTGAGTTTTGGGGATTTTTTTGACTTTTTTTTCCCATTTGACCATGCACAACAATACTTAGCTTTTCAAGTCCTGGTTCAAAACTTCTGTCATGTCTTTCAGACCCTACATGCTAAAAAGACTATGGTATGACTCAAGCAGTGCAGTGCTTAAACATTAAGTAAGTATACTTGTTATTCCCCCGCCGACATAAATTAAAATGGCCTCCACCAAAAGGACAGATTTTACCTGCTAGAGATGTCCTTGTTATCTACATCTATCTTAACACTGTATAAGCAGTATCCACAAAGAGGATGCTAAGCCAGGCACTGACAAAATTTTAAAGTACAGTATAGGAGACAGACATTGTCTTAGCTAGAAGTCCTTACTGGAAAACAGTGACACCAGCAGCAGATGCATTAAGACAAAGCTGGACAGATGTGCTAGGGGAAGGAGGAATCCTTTTTTCTTTAGTATCTTTCTTTTACCCTGTGCTCATCAGCAAGGGCTGAGTCTAAGGGACTAGGATTTTCCTATGGAGCCTGAAAACCTGCACTTCATTCCCTCTACCTCCAAACTTCAAACATCTCAGAATGAAATGAAAAGGTGATTGTGAGGGAGCAGAGGAATAGCCAGCACAGCTAAGGGGAGTAACTCAGAAATGGAGACAATGGTTCAGCCATCAGAGTGACTTCTTAAATAGCTCAGATAGCTGCCTTCAAATAACAATTCTCTCCAGCTATTTCTGGAGAGCTCCTCATAAGGCAAGTTGACCTGGCTGGGTTTAATGTCATTCACATGCAAGATGCTGTCACTGGGCAGCCTGGAAGGATTTTTCTGATTTGAACAGATCAGAAGGTTCTGAAGAGAACAGAAGGTGGTAGGTCTTTCTCTGCCTTTCAGAAACCATACAATGAAGTTAATGTTGAGGGCCAAAAAGCAGAAAAATAAATCAAAGCTCTCAACATTGTGCTGGCATGGTGTGCTCTATTGGGAAGAGAAGGCCTGGATTCCTGCCCTCCTTCTCAAAGTTTTTCACGGCACTTTGTTCAGCAACTCTTGAATACAGGATGGATGGGGAATCTCTGTAGCCCAGAGCCCCATGTGATCCCTCTGCCTTGACCAGCAAGCCTTGACCATATGTTCTCCTGCTGGCTCTGCCAAGCTCACACTGCTTCCTCCTTGCCAGGCGGCCAGCACCAGCAGGAACGGTGGACAGTGGCACCAGCTGCCCTTCTCCAGTTGTTCCAACATGTCGGCTTATAAATGCAGTGTCACTCAGGAACCACCTGAAATTCATGCTTGAAAACCTGAAAGTAGCAAACCAACAACCAACAAGGAGTAATTCCAGAGGCCTCATTTTGAGTCATGTTTCTTTTAAGATAGTTTTAAGAGGCTGCATTTCAGACAAGGAGAGCTCAAGACTCCCAAAATCCAAATGCCAGAAGTACATGAGATTCCTGCCCCAACTGTTCATATTTTCCAAACACCAGCCACTTCCAAAAAATCTTGGATTCACAGAAATGTAAATGAACTAGGAATCTTTTCCATCCATCTACCTACTGAGATATGAAAATTTATACCACTGGAGGGAATTTAATTTGTATTTCTGTTTCAGACTTTTAAACAAACTAGAAAAGGAAAAGAAGATGAAAGCATGTATGGCCACTAAAAATTACATGCCAGTTATCTTTTTAGTTGTTGAGTTTTATGAGGAATAAGGGCTAGAAGAAACATATAATATTTCTGCTTAAGCATTCAATAACTCATATACACTGACAGAAAAGCCCATCAGTGATATCATTTATTTTATCATATAGTGGGCTTCTGTGTCTGTCTGTCAGTCTGTCTGTCTCTCTTCTCCTCATCTGCAAAGTCTCAAACTCCCTTCACTGGAGGTAATTCAGGGCAGTGAACTACATTGCAATTACATGAGCACATCAAATTTTAAAGAACAGACTTCAAGAAGAAGAAAAACAGACATTATAATCAAAACCAAACTTTGTGGCTACTTTGTGGCTGTCCTGCTAACAAGGTCGTTCAGTTTCTGGTCACAGCTGCGGAATTTACCACAAAACATCTGTGAATTAGTCAGGAAAAAATCCTTCTTTCCTATGCATTGCATAGGTGTGCCTAAGAATGCAAAAAATGAAGAGATTTCAATTTTGTGAATACTACAAGGATTGTCTCACTATATCACAGTAATTTTCTTCCCAAAGTCTCTGAAGGCACCCTCTTTGTGTTATAAAATACAAAGATGCATGGAAGACTTGCACAAGTATCTGAGTGCTTTCCCCTTTCTGGTTCTGCTTTGCAAGGTTTTAGGACAAGAGCTTCCTAAGCATGGTAATGAGGGAGCATTTAATGAAAGACATAGGGGAACAACTTGAAAGAGTTTAAAAAAAGCATTTGTGAACTTTTGGAATAGCTGCAGACATAGCCAGCAGGTTCATATGTGACTAGACAAATCCTAAGACAACATGTCCATAAAGAAATACTGAAGAGAACAAGCAAGAGTGTATACTTTGGAGTTGCTAACCTAAATGCTGGGAGAGCACTAAGAGAACAAAAGTGAGCAAGCAGGGGGGCTCATGTGCTTCTTTAAATAGAATCCCCTGTTTGCACCATCAGAGACACACTAACTAGAGTAACACCCTTAGTTTTACCCAGTGGGATATTTCTGATGTTTTTTGGAGTTTTTTTTCCTACATTTTTAAACTTCAGAAAGATAAATTTGTTTCTTTGGGGTATCTTTATTTATTCATATAGAAACATATTATGTTTAGTATAATACTTATTAAAAGTTTCTTTCCTATCCTCTGTCTAA